AAGTTATAAATCCTTGAAACTAAAAGATCAGATCTGGTATTCCAAATACTATCTTGCATATTCTCAGTGGTATAGTTTGATTTAATTTTAAATTTCAGTACTCAGAAACCTCAGAGAGAAAGGGTGGGGCAGGTTAGTGAAGAACCTATTCTCTCTCTCTCTCTCTCTCTCTCTCTCTCTCTCTCTCTCTCTATCTCTTTTTTTAATCTGAGACAGAATCACTTTGCAGCCGAGTTAGCCTTGAACTCACTGAACAGCCCTGTCAACTTTTGAACTGAGATTTTACTTCCCTTAGCTTTCCAAGGACTAAGGCTGTGCATGTCCCGTCCTGTCTGGCTGCCCTATTGATTGTGATGTTTCTTCCAAGAAGTACTGCCTTATGTTACAGTTTGTCTCTAAACAAGCTAGCCCGCTTGTTGAAATAATTCTCTGCATTTCTAAACTCCTGTGGAATATTTTTCTGCTGATCACTTTGCAATGAATTTATTCCAAGTCTGACTTTCTAAGAAAAGAAATATAAGTCTCTTCACTAATGCATCTCAGTCATTGAAACTGAAAACAGCAATTACCAACAGCACTGCTGCTTCCCAGAATTGTTGCTGAAGGAAGCAGAGGAGCAAATGGAAAACTTCCTTGGTATCACAAAGCCATGCAGCATACAGGTCATAAAGACCTTGGTTTCACACACAGACGGGAGATAAATAGCATGCATCATTTCCACTTTGGGATATGTGTTTGCCCAGAGCCTCTAGACTTATTGGATCATTGGATTTTCATTTCAAAGTTTGTTGCCACTCTGGAATAGTCTGCTGCTTTTACAAATAAATACTGATACTTATCTCCACAGAGTCCCTTAAGAAGTAAAGAGCTAGACGTGATATTAAAATAAATTGATGCACCCTGCCTGCCACAGAGGAGAGATTAGCAGTCAGAAAAAAACTTCAGTGCTATTTAGTTTTATTCTCTTTGTGCTGTGTTCATTCAGAGTCATGGTTAATCAGAGTTTAATCTTGTACATGCTGAGGGTCATACAATACCCACAGGGCCACTAGTCTGTTGTTTTTATCTACTTCTCTAAATAGACAACAATGGAGTAGAATTTGGGGTCCCATAGTCACACATTTCTGACCTTGCCTCATTGACATGAAGTCTTCCTAAACTGATAGCAAGCTTAGAGCGTTATTGCTGTACTTAACTGTGAAGAGGGGAGAATATAGCCTATCAGCTAAGAGTATATCCTCTGAATTTGGTCTGAGAAGGACCAAAATGCATGTCTTTGATTTACTATGCTTCCAGGTCTACCATCCCACCCTGCCCCCCCCCCCAAGCCTGCCTTTTTGTCTGCAAGGTCCTTAGAACCCAGCAAGAAACCCTGCTCCAGTGCTGAAGAGATCCGGAGAGGTGAGTAAGTGGCCACAGGGCTGGACAGTCCCAGGGGACTGAATCCAGGACCCCTCCAATTTTCTAAGCTTTTCTGGCAGTCCAGTAGGGTGGGTTCCCTGCTGCTGGCTTTCTTTACCCTAAACCCTCCTTTTCATCTGTAAGGTCCTTGGATCCCACAACACAGCCTGTTTCAGGGTGGAGGAGAACTGAGAGCCTGCTCCAGTGCTGAGGGGACCTAAGAGAGGGCAGACCAAAAAAAAAAAAAAAAATCTCCCAAGTACATAGTCCTCCACAGTAAAGATTGGACCAAGACGCCAAGACTCTCCTGGCCGCATTTGAAGGAAGAGATGACCAAACATCAATGCAAGAATTCCTCCAACATCCTGGAAATCAGCATAATAACACCAGAATCCAGCAGACACGCAACAGGAAGACTTGAACATCCTAATCAAGAAGAAGTAGAAGAAATCGACTTTAAACGTAACCTTATAAAAATGATGGAGATCCTTAAACAGGAAGTGAAAAACTCCCTTAAAGAAATGGAAGAGAAGAAAAACAAAAAGTTAGAAGAAATTAATAAATCCCTCAAAGATACCCAAGAAAACCAAGAAAAAGCAATGAAACAGTCAAAGGAAACAGTTCAAGACTTGAAGACCAAAATGGAGGTAATAAAGAAAACACAAACTGAGGGATGGTTGGTAAACAAACAGCAACTACAGAGACAAATATAACCAATAGAATACAAGAGATAGCAGAAAGAATCTCAGGCACTGCTGAGTGGTGGTGGCGCACGCCTTTAATCCCAGCACTTGGGAGGCAGAGGCAGGCAGATCTCTGGGAGTTCGAGGCCAGCCTGGTCTACAAGAGCTAGTTCCAGGACAGGCTCCAAAACCACAGAGAAACCCTGTCTCAAAAAAACAAACAAACAAACAAACAAAAATCTCAGGCACTGAAGATACTATAGAGGAAATAGACTCATTGATCAAAGAAAATAGCAAATCCAACAAATTCTTAACACAAAACATCCAGGAAATCTGGGACACCATGAAAAGACCAAAGCTAAGAATAATAGGGGTAGAAGGAGAAAAATTCCAGCTCAAAGGCCCAGAAAATATATTCAACAAAATTATAGAAGAAAACTTTCCCAACCTAAAGAAGGATATTCCTATGAAAGTACAAGAAGCTTACAGAACACCAAACAGACTGGATTAAAAAAAAAAAACTACACACCCTCACTATATAATAATCAAAGCACAAAACATGCAGAATAAAGAAAGAATATTAACAGCTGCAAAGTAAAAAGGTCAAGTAACATATAAAGGTAAACCAAATCAGAAATACATCTGACTTCTCAATGGAAACTATGAAAGCCAGAAGGTCTTGGATAGATGTGCTGCATACACTAAGAGACCATGGATGCAAGCCCAGACTACTATATCCAGAAAAGTTTTCTTTCACCATCGATGGAGAAAACAAGATATTCCGTAACAAAAACAGATTTAAACAATACGTAGCCACAAACCCAGCCTTACAGAAAGTACTAGAAGAAAAACCTCAACCCAAGGAAGCCAACAACACCCACAATAGCACGGACATCTGATAACCCTTTACCAAAACAATTGAAAGAAGGGAAACACGCAAACACTACCACCAAATAAATAAATAATCAAAGTTAACAACTACTGATCATTAATATCGCTTAATATCAATGGACTCAATTCACCTATAAAAAGGCAGAGGTTAAGAGAATCGATAGAAAAACAGGCTCCAATATTCTGCTATTTACAAGGAAAACACCTCAACCTCAAAGACAGATACTACCTCAGATTAGAGTTGGGAAAAGGTTTTCCAATCAAAGGGATCTATGAAACGTATGGGTGTAGCTATCCTAATATCTAGCAAAATTGATTTCAAACTAAAATCAAACAGAAGAGATGGAGAAAAATACTTTATAGTCATAACAGGAACAATTCATCAAGATGAAGTCTCAATCCTGAATATCTACACCCCTAATATAAAAGCACCCACATGTGTAAAAGAAAGAAACATTACTAGAACTCAAATCACACATCAAACCCATACACTAATAGTAGGAGATTTCGACAGTCCACTCTCACCAATGGACAGCTCAACCAGACAGAAACTTAACAGAGAAATAAGAGAACTAACAGATGTAATGAATCAAATGATCTTAATAGACATCTATAGAACATTCCACCTAAACAGGAAAGAATATACCTTCTCCTCAGCACCTCATGGGACCTTTGTAAAAACTGATCATATACCCAATAACAAAGCAAACTTCCACAGATACAAAAAACTAGAGTAACCACCTCTATCTTATCAGATCACCATGGAGTAAAGTTAGAATTTAAAAACAATCCCACCTTCAGAAAGCCGACAAACTCATGGAAACCGAACAATCAACTACTGAACCACCCCTGGGTCAGGTGTAAGGAGCCACTTCAGGCTTCCCCTTTCTCACATCTCACAGGGCCTTGAAGTAAAAATCATGAGACAGAAAACTTAAAGTTGCCAAAACATTACAGAGTGTCTTCAAGGCTTGCTGCTTATCACTAACAGCAGGTGTTCTAGCCACTGACCTTGCAACTGCCCTGCTTAGCCTTCAAACTGCCCCACTTAGTTGCCTAGCTACCGAACCCCTCCTTCCCTTTCCCCCTTCCCCCTTCCTCAGTTCCCTCTGCCCTGAGCTCCTCACTGAGGAGTATATAAGACATAAAACTTGCTTCAATAAAGGGGATGCCTTGACAAGAAATACTGCTTGGCGTCCGTTTCTCTCTCCCCCCATGTCTTTCAGATAGTGCCTCTTCAGACCCTGGAGTAACTTAGGACCTGCTGGGCTGGTCAGTCAGGGAAGAAATAAAGAAAGAAATTAAAGTCTTTCTTGAATTCAATGACACAACATACCCAAACACCATGAAAGCAGTGCTAAGAGGAAAGTTCATTGTACTAAGTGCCCACATAAAGAAAATGGAGAAAGCTCACATTAGAGACTTAACAGCACACCTGAAAGCTCTAGAAAAAAAAGAAGCAGACTCACCCAGAAGGAGTAGAAGGCTGACTGGAAATAATCAAACTGAGGTCTGAAATCAACAAAATAGAAACACAGAAAGCAATCCAAAGAATCAATGAAACAAAGAGCTGGTTCTTTGAGAAAATCAACAAGATTGACCAACCCCTATCCAAACTAATCAAAAGGTGAGAGAGAACACTCAAATTAAAAAGATCAGAAATGAAAAGGGGACATAACAACAGACACTGAGGAAATTCAGAGAATCATTAGGTCTTACTAAAGAAGCCTGTATTCTACAAAATTGGAAAATGTAAAAGAAATGGACTTTTTAAAAGATAAATACCATATATTAAAATTAAATCAAGACCAGGTGAACAATTTAAATAAACCTATAAGTCATGAGGAAATAGAAGCTGTCATCAAAAACCTCCAAACCAAGAAAAGCCCAGGGCCAAATGGTTTTAATGCAGAATTCTACCAGAACTTTCAAGAAGAGCTAATACCTATACTCCTTAATGTGTTCCACATAGTAGAAACAGAAGAGTCATTCACAAACTCTTTTTTTAATATTTATTTATTTATTATGTATACAATAGTCTGTCTGTGTGTATGTCTGCAGGCCAGAAGAGGGCACCAGACCTCATTACACATGGTTGTGAGCCACCATGTGGTTGCCGGGAATTGAACTCAGGACCTTTGGAAGAGCAGGCAATGTTCTTAACCACTGAGCCATCTCTCCAGCCCAAACTCTTTTAATGAAGCTACAGTTACCCTGCTATCAAAATTACACAATGACTCAACCAAGAAAGAGAATTACAGATAAATCTCACTCATGAACATCAATGCAAAAATTCTCAATAAAATACTGGCAAACTGCATCCAAGAACACTTAAAAAAATCCATTATAATCAAGTAGGCTTCATCCCAGAGATGAAGGGCAGGTTCAACATACGAAAATCTATCAATGTAATCCATCATATATATAAACTGAAAGAAAAAAAAACATATGATCATTTCATTAGATGCTAAAAAAGCATTTGGCAGAATTCAATACCCCTTTATGATAAAGGTCTTGGAGAGATTTGGAATACAAGTATCATATCTAAATATAATAAGTAATATACAGCAAGCTGACAGCTAACATCAAATTAAATGGAGAGAAACGGGAAAGTCATTCCACTAAAATCAGGAACAAGAAAAGGCTGTCCACTCTTTCCATTTCTCTTCAACATAGTGCTTGACGTTCTAGCAATAGCAATAAGACAAAATATGGAGACCAAGGGGATTCAAATTGAAAAGGAAGAAGTCAAACTTTCATTGTTTGTAGCTGATAAGATAGTGTACATAAGCGACCCAAAAAACTCTACCACAGAACTCCTACAGCTGATAAATACCTTCAGTGATATGTCAGGATACAAGATCAACTCAAAGAAATCAGTAGTTCTTTTATACACAAAGGATAAAGAAGCAGAGATGGAAATGCACAAAACTCAAGTCCAAATGGATGAAAGCCCTCAATATAAATCTGACCATACTGAACCTGACATAAGAGAAAGTGGGAAGTAGCTTGCAATACATGGGCACAGGAGACCACTTCCTACATATAACCCCAGTAACACAGACAATCAGAGCAACAATGAATAAATGGGACCTCCTGAAACTATAAAGCAAAGGACACAGTCATTAAGACAAAAAGGCAACCTACTGAATGGGAGAAGATCTTCACCAACCCCACATCAAACAAAGGTCTGATCTCCAAAATATATAAGGAACTCAAGATACTAGACATTAAAATTCCAAATAACCCAATTTAAAAATGGGGTACTGAACTGAACAGAGAATTCCCAACAGAAGAATTTCAAATGGCCAAAAGTTATTAAAGGACATGTTCAACTTCCTTAGCTATCAGGGAAATGCAAATCAAAACAGATTTAATATACCATCTTAAACCGTTCAGAATGGCTAAAATCAAAAATACCAATGATAGCCTATGCTGGAGAGGATGTCAAGTAAGGGGAACACCCATCTATTGCTAGGGGGAATGCAAACTTGTGCAACCGCTATTAGAAAATCCCACTCTTTCAACTTCATGGCTCTGTGATGCTAGATTTTTCTCCTGTCCTCAGTCACAGCCAATCATAACTGTGTGAATTCATGAACAGCTCTAAGACTCTACCTGTCTCTCAAGTAGCCCAACATTACCGAGGCCTATAGGAACATAGATTGATACCAATCTTCTAATTTTTTTTTGTTCAGAAATACTTTGTAGGTGTTGTTTTTTGCTTTTTGTTTTTCCAGAAAGGGTTTCTGTCATGGAAATAGTTCTATAGACCAGGCTGGCCTCGAACTCAGAGATTCCTCTGCCTCTTCTTCCCTGAGTGCGAGGATTAAAGGTAAGTGCCACAGCTACCTGGCTCAGAAATACCTTTTATACAGTTATATGACCAAACAACTTATTTCATTTTAAGTAAAATTTTTTAATTATTAGTTTTAGCTATGAACAATGTACAAATAGGTAGACATAAACAACATACACATGGACCTTTGGAAGTTCTTAGTTATCTTTAAGGTTGTAAAATCTAAAGGATGGACACCCTTTCTCTGCCTTAGGTCTCAGCTGTGATGACCTGTGGCTATGATCTTATGACCTGTGGTTATGTTTCTTTAACAAAAACTCCTCAGTCACAGTAGACCATTGCCTCTCTTTGCCCCCTCTCACCTCCATCCTCATCCTTTCTCTCTCTTAATATTGAATTCATGAATCTTCCCCACCCCTATGTCATCTCTAAAGGACCCTGCCATACTGAGCCTTTCCAATGGGAGGTCCCACCGCAGCCTTATCCTGTGCTCTGGATATCTGAACGTCCAGTCCTTGCCTTCTGAGTCCTGGTCACCATCCTCAAGTTCCTGGTTGAGTCATTCTTCCTCTGAGTCTTCTGATCCACCACTTTGAGCTTCTTCTGGACTCCTTGTCCAGGTGAGGCCACCCCTGGGCCAAGAGAGACACATGAATGGATGTACCCAGTGGAACTGTCCTTCTTTCACAGATTTCTTTCCCCATTCCATCCTCCCTTCCAGATCTCTGTGCCTCACTTTTCTTTTACTGTTTTTTTTTTCTGATGTGCACCATGCTTTCTCCCCCCAAATATGTTCTCCATATGTTTTCACCCCCAGGGAGCTCTCAGAAGAATTAACTAGATTACAATGGGGTTATTGAGGGGTTGCTTTCTGTTTCTTGCTTGTAAGTCTCCTGAACCATGAGGTGGTCCCATCAGAGCTCTGGGATTCTTCAGGTGGAGAAGGAGAGCCTTCCATGTAGCACGCATATGCAGAACAGACAACATCCAAGACCACAAGACACCTCTCATGGGTAAAGCATACAGAAATACAGGAAGGACAGGCATAGTTCCTGCCATGAAGGCAGCTCCCAGGAGTGCCACTGGAATGTGTGCCTGATGCCCAGAGGCTCTGCTGGTGGACCAGTGGGCTTCACTGAAGAGAGGGAGAGCACAGCACTTTTCATTGCTGGGACTTAGGAAGTGGACATCACAGGACAGCACAGCCCACTGTCACAAGGGCTCCTCTCCAGAGCTCTTCTGGCACTTGTCCCATGAGCTGCCTGGGGTGGTTTCAAAGAAAATGTCCCCTAAAGGCAGTGACATTATTAGGAGGTATGGCTTTGTTAGAGTAGGTGTGGACTTCTTAGAGGAGGTGTGTCTCTGTGGGGGTTGGCTTTGAAGTGTCATACATGCTCAAGCCATGCCCAGAATCTCAGACCACTTCCTGCTGCCTGCAGGTCAAAATATAGGACTCCAAGCTACTTCTCCAGCACCATGTCTGCCTGCAAACCATCATTTTGCACCATGATGATAATGGACTAAACCTCTGAAAATGTACGCCACCCAATTAAATTTATTTCCTTTATAAGAGTTGCTGTGGTCATGGTCTCTCTTCACAGCCAAGAAACCCTAAGACACGGCCCCTTAGGGCTAGGACCCAGGCTCTTTTACATTTTATCTCACAGAATGAAGTCGCTAATTCCCCCTTTAGTTCGGAAGGATGGTGCCATCCTCATGAACATAAAGAGGAAACCTGTTGCTCTCCATCCTTCACCTTGGACCACTGCAACCTCCCATCAAAACAGAGTGCACTGGTTACTCAGTGACAAAACTGGTTGGGTGAAATTTAAACCAGATCACCACACTATCCAGAACACCTGTGTGCCTTCCCATTGAGTTTACAGCAAACCTCATTCCTTCTATACCAGATTTTTGGCCCCTCAGGAGCCCCTTTCAGCATCCCCTTGCCTCCTTATCTCACCTTGTGTGGGTCTTTTCTTCTGACGTCTTCTTTTGGGTGTTGACCAGATGTCTCTTTTTCTTTTTTTTGCTAAGAAGAAAGAATACAAAGTCTTTTATAGTCACAAATATAGATCTGTCAGTCTTTTTTATTTAGAAGAATTAAATAATATTTTTGTTCAGTAATTGTGTGTGTATGTGTATATGTATGTGTGTGCATGTGTATGTGTGTGTGCTTGTGTGTGCATATGTATGTATGCATGTGTGTATGTGTGTACATGTGTATGTATGTATATATGTGTATGTGCATGCATGTGTATGTGTGTATATGTGTGTGCCTTAACCTTGAGACAGCTCTCCAAGCTCACCCCTAAACCTTTAAAAAATCAGCTGGAAAGGAGAGATCAGAGGTTGAACAAGAAGAAACAAACTTCAAGGACTGCTGTAGGACAATGGTCTTTTATCCTGTCACTCATATTATTTTTAATAAAATGCTGATTTCCAGTTTATAATTAATGTAAGCCTCTGTATATTTCTTTGGGACTGAATGGCTGCAGGATCAGGCAGGGAAAAAAATCTCAGTCAACAAATGGTGCCCAACGTGTAAACAACTGTATCCACATAAAGCCTGAGAGAGCTTGGGAAGTAATTCTAGATAGAAGAGAATAAAGTTAAGCAGGGCTCATTGACAGCAGGATTTTCTCAGGTGGGATCTGTTTGCTGGAGGCCAATGGGTCACTTTCAACAGAGGCTTCCTGATTCAGCTTTAGCTGCAAAAACTGTGCAGCCCTTTTAAGAGGCTCTGCCACAAAACACTTAAATGGTATTTATGAAGAGCTTACAGCATGCTTCTTGGTGGTTGCACAGAGACCTTGAAATACCATAGAGTTATGGCAATAAACATGGCTCTAGCTAGTGCCTCTGCCATGAGGCTAGAATCTCAGAAAGCTAAGGAATGGGCTGGATTCAGCCATCAAAGCCACTGCTTTAATCCTAGCCATATCACTTAGCAAATTATAGACTCATGTGGTCAGAAAAAGAGAGATACAGTAAAGATAGTTTCATGCAAAATAGCCTCTAAACAGTTTACAGTATGTTTAAAAATATATGTAGGCTTTGGAAAGAAAAAAAAAAGGATAAAGTCTTTAAAAAAAAAAAGAGAGAGTAGTTGGGTGTGGTGGCACACACCTTTAATCCCAGCATTTGGGAGGCAGAGGCATGCAGATTTCTGTGAGTTCAGCGACAGCCTGGTCTACAAAGTGAATTTCAGGGCAAAGATACACAGAGAAACCCTGTCTCAAAAAGCCAAAAATTAAAAATAAAAATAAAAGAGTTTAAAATAAAGCCATGTAAAGATGGAAAACACACAGAGAATCTGGATACTGTATGTTATTATGCTCTCTTTGAATTGTCTGAATGCTGAGGAAGGAACAACAGCTGCTAAAAGATATTCGTTTATAAATGCTGCTGAATTAATCTACGATAGGTATTTTGAAAATAACTTGACTTCAAAACTGAAGTTAAAAGGTATGTTACTTTGAAGAGGTTTCGCTTTTGTTTTCACAGGAAATGAGAGGTTGTGGATTGATTCCCGGTTAAGAAAAATCAGGTTTGATCAAAGAAGACCTCCTGAGAAATCTCTTATAGGGGTGGATGGCCCAGATGTCTGAGTTCTACATCCAGAACAGCCTCAAGACTGCTGCCTGAGATGATCAAGCCTCATAGGATATGCCAGTCATGACTTGATCATAATTCTAAATTTTCTTTAGGTCCCCATAAGATTATCAGCACCCCCAATCAACAGGAAGTAGCCTTAAAAACTACCCCCACTTTCCCCCCAAATGGACTATGGATATTTTCCTTTGTTTAGAATGTTGGTTACAAGTAGTTATGAATAATGGTCAGAAGAAAAGCTAAACAAAGGATATTAGATTCATAGTTCTTGCTTCTCTTTTTTTTAAAAGGGGGAAGTGTTGTGAACAATGGTCTTTTATTCTGTTACTTGTATTATTTTTAATAAAATGCTGATTGGCCTAGTAACTCAGGCTTCTTATTAATTAATTCTTACATCTTACATTAACCCATTCTTGTCTGTGCTAGCCACATGGCTTGGTACCTTTTTTGGCGAGGCAGTCACATCTTGTGTCCTCTGCACCTGGGTGATGACTGCAGACTGAAACTTTCCTCTTCCCATAATTTTCATTGCCCTGCCTATACTTCCTACCTGGCTACTGACCAATCAGCATTTATTTAAAATACAAGTGACAGGGTACAGACCATTGTCCCACAGCAGTAGCCCCCCCTTTTTTTTAAACAAGTGTTAAAGTAAGAATTCTTGTATTAGTTATTGGGAAATTAAGCTAGGTTTGAATAATGGTAGGGCCTATGGATGGTTTTTGGACATAAGAAACCAAGAATTTGTGAAGGAAAGAGTAGCCAGATGTGAGGAGAGAAAGACTGGAGCAGCTGGAGTACTGGGTGGGTTGCCTGCTACCTGTGACTCCCTGAAAGCATCCAGGACCAGCCTGCTACCCATGATGCCTTGAAAGCATCCAGGACCATGGCAGAAACTGAAGTGGGAGAAAATTAGGCTTAAGAAGCTCCAGGAACCCCAATGGGGAAGCCATTGGAGGACAGTACCAGAGTAGTCACAGAGTTTACTATCATTACTGTTATTATTACTGTTATTATATTTTTTGGTTGTGGGGGTGTTGGACACATGTACCTTGTTACCCATGTGGCAGGCAGGAGACAACTTGAATGAGTAGGTTCTGTTCCTCTGCCTTATAGATTTCAGGGATCAAATTCAGATCATCAGACCTGGTACCAGCCACCTCTAACCAATGAGCCATCTTGCTGGGCCAATAACAACACATATTTTAATTGAATGGTAACACCTCAAGAAAGAAGCAGGAAATCAAAGAGTGAGATAGGATGTAGGCAGCCAAGTGGCCATCCAAGCTCCTTGCCACCATGAGGTGTAAGTGAAGGATGGCAGAAGCTGCCTGAACGTGACTTACGAGGAAGCAGTGTTCTGACCAACTGTAGTTAACAGTTAGTGGAACAGACACGCTGAGCAGTTGTGGGATAGGAGTCTGTGACTCTGAGGACATTTGGTTCACTACGTCTAAGTGCCTTCTTGTTACCTATCGTTTTCACGAGGCCTTTGGGAAGGTGGAAGGAAGAGAGACTGCAGAAATGCTGTGATTGTAGAACTGGTGGCATTGTAGATGCTGGGATGTGACAGAGCTGGAGAAGCAGGAAGCATCCTGAGGGAAAGAATGGCTATACCTTTCTTCTTTGCAGAAGTGCTGGTTGCTTCCTGGACCATTCCCAGGTCATCTGGTGCTGGAGAATCCCCTTCCTGCTTTACAGGAGTGCTGGTTGCTTCCTGGGCCATTTCCAGGTCATTCAGAACTGGAGAATCCTTTTTCTGCTTTGCAGGAGCGCTGGGTGCTTCCTGGGCCATTTCCAGGTCATTCAGAACTGGAGAATCCTTTTTCTGCTTTGCAGGAGCGCTGGGTGCTTCCTGGGCCATTTCCAGGTCATTCAGAACTGGAGACTACTTTTTCTGCTTTGCAGGAGCGCTGGGTGCTTCCTGAGCCATTTCCAGGTCATTCGGAGCTGGAGAATCATTTTTTGCCGCTAGCCAAAGAAAACAGAACCCACCTCAGAGCTCAGAGTGTACTGAAGAGAGTGTGTGAAGAAAGGCAGTAGAAGATCTCGACCAGAAGGGAGTGAAGCCAGGGATCGGCCAGGCCACAGGGCTCTGCCTTCATCTGACCTTGGTACTTTTTAAAAAACTTTTTGTGCCTGGGTGTTTTGCCTGCATGTGTGTCTGCGTACCACATGTGTGCCTGGTGGCCACAAAGGCCAGAGTAGGGTGCCATATCCTTCAGGGATGGAGTTACAGATGGTTATGAGCTACCATGTAGGTGCTGGGAATTGAACTCAGGTCCTCTGGAAGAGTAGCCCCTGATCTTTGCCACTGAACCACTTTTCCAGCTCTGACCACCTTGTTGTTGTTACCTATGCATCTGTTAACAGCAAATACATTTTGAAATTCTGCTAACTTTGATATAATAAGAAAAACAAAGGGGCTTGAAGCTGTAACAGATGAAGGTTCACCTCCTTAAGGCTGTCTGCTGCTTACACAACACTATAAAAATTGTCTTAACTTCTGGCCAGATACCTGAGGCACATTGTAAACCATATACAGTTTACTGTAGAATTACTACTTTCAAAGTAATTTTTCTTTTCATATCATTTTAATGACAAGTATTCTTAGCACTCTATACGATATAGATTGACCAGCACCGAGGGTCTGCTCCCACTGTCAGGGTGACATCAAGGTTATCCATACCAATTGCATCACCCACCACTGGGGGCACACAGGGTTTCTTCTGTCTGTCTGGCTGGCATTTTGTTGGGGTCATTTTGAGTCTTACGTATTGCAGTGACTTTGTCCCAAAAGCAAGGTCACACAGTCCAGCCCTGCCTTGTCCTCTTCTCTCCTTGGGTCCACCACATTCCTTTATGGCTGAGGAATTCTCTCTGTTTGTCAATATCTTAACATTTTAACACTGATTCTCCAGCAACATTTTAGAGTCTGGCAGGCATGAGTGGGCTTTCTGATCTTTGTGATTAGTTCTACAAGTCTACCTTCCCGGTCCTTCCTCCTTGCCTTCCCCACAACTCTCTCTCCCTTCAGGAGCTCAGGGTTCCTGATTCCCTAAGCACCCAATCAGAGGTAAGTTTAAACTATCCCAACCAAGACTACTAACAATTAAATCAGCCTTAACCAGCGTTACCTTGCATAGCACCAGGGGAACCAGGAAGCTGCCCTCCTGAGTCGTCTTCTTCCTTAACCTTGGATGTTAAGTTGTCTTTGATCACTGGAGGAGGAAGGAAGATCTTGGGTTATGAGGCCCAGATGTCAGGGAGGAGAGTGGGTGGTGTAAATACCCAGAAAAAAATGTCCTTTGAGGCCAAAGGCAAATTACCTGGAATGGGGCCTGGCCGACTGTGGGGCATCTCTGGAGAGTCATCTTTATCATTTCTCTGGGGGTTCATGGAGGATGCTGAGCAGAGGGAAGAAAAGAATCGAGGCTTTCATGATGAGCAGGTAAGGACCAGAGTGGTAAAGAGAACAAATGTGTTTCTAACTGACCAGCGAGGAACGCAGGCAACCCGGGTAAAGCAGGATAGAGAAGCAACAGTGAACGGTTGCTTACTCTTAATTAGCAACTCATTAATTTACTAACAGTATTTCTTCTTTTTTTTTTTTTAAAAAAGGCAGAGGATGAGACCTTCTATTGTTGTTAGCTTTCTGATTCTGTTGAACTTTGAGTGACATGTATCAGAGGAGTGGAGGAAATGTCACTGAGTTCAAACATGACTTTTATTCTCAGGCCTGGAGAACAGGGAGTCCATAATACATATCTTTGGCAATGTCAGCAATACATCCTGCTATAGTTAATGTAACCAAACTTCATTATAATGGTGGTTTGGGGAAGGCAAGTGGCACAAGTCTGGAAGCTAAATCAGGTCCCGCAGACTTTTAACATTTTTTATAATATTTTCTAATAATTTTTATAGCATACATATGCCCTGGAATCGAATTCATCTAAAAATAAATATGGAGGGTTGGGCTTGTAGGTCAGTGTTTGTCTAGCATGCAAGAGGCCTTGGGTTCTACCCTTAACACTGTGAAATAAAAAGGAATGAGTAAGGCTGAAACTCAAGGCTTCTGTAGTCAGCGAAGAATCACCAGTGCAAGTGTATAACATGTTATGTGCCATTTCAGAACAAAAAGTGGGATTCTATATACTATGGATTGAACCCAGGAGTCTCACATCTACCAGGGGAGTGGCCCTCCACTAAGCTACACCCCCAGTGCACAGCAGCAGCCTTGAAGATTTCCTTTGCAGTGTGAGTCTGTGGAAAGTCCCCTCTGCTTCTCTCCCCATCTATTCTCATGCCCATCTATTTCTCCTGAGGTTCCAACCACAGCCTCCCTTTGGGCATGCACATCTTCCCCATCCACAGCCCAGTCAGTGTTACCTTGTCCAGTGCCAGAGGAAGTGCTAGACGTCCTTCCTGAGTCTGCTCTCTCATGAGTTGTAGCGGTTAAGTTGTTATAGGCAGCTGAAGGAGGAAGGAAAACCATGGATTACAAGGTTGGCTATATAAGGAGGAGACTGACGGGCCTAAAGTAGCAGTTCTCAACCTGTGGACTGCGACCCCTTTGGCAAACCTCTATCTTTAAAAATATTTGCATTACAATTTATAAAAGTAGAAAAATTACAGACATGAAGTAACAATGAAAACAATTTTTATGATTGAGCATCACCACAACTTGAGGAACTGTATTAAAGGGTTATAGCACTAGGAAGGTTGAGAACCACTGCCCTAAAGGCTCAGGGAAGGTGAAGAACCAAGGCCAAGGACAGAGGTTGGGGTATCCAGGTGTAGCAAAAAGGTGTTCTGGGATCTGAGCCTCCCTGGCCATTGGCGATGCTTGCTATTATCTTAGAAAGGGTTGTATGTTGGTGGAGACATAGGTGCATAGAAAGGAACAGATGAACAAAAGTCAGCAATCTGGGGTTCTAAGAGACAGGGAACAAGCATCTCAGGTAGGGTTACAAGTTGTAGGAGAAGATCTGTTTCTTGCCTGGAGTGGTCTTTCTTTCCTGCACGAAGCCAGCAGGAGGCACAGCTGGAGGAGAAGGATGGGGCTGCTCATCGAGGATCTCAGTGATTTGCTGTGAGGCTGCTCGGGGCTCACCGACTCTTGGAGCAGAGGACGGATGGCTTGGTGGAGATGGTTGTGGCGGCGGCAGTGGCAACAGAGTCTGGAAAGAGCACCCTTCTGCTAGGACAGCTGGGGCTTTGGGTAGGGTCTGCGCACTTCTCTTATTCCTTTCATATGCAGTAACAACTGGAATTAGCAAAGGAACACACATTATGATACTGGAAGTTATCTGGCAGATAGCATTGCCTAGTGCATCTTCTCCCACAGCACAGGAGGCAGAGTTACTGATTTTACCGGTGCAGAGAACAGGTTCATCACCACCCATGTCCATTTGTGGCTGCTTTTGGCTTTTATTTCATTTGGACACTCAGTGCTATTTAGTCCCCGATATATCACCAAATGATGGGGGAGAGTCTTCTGTTTTGTGTTAATTTTATTGGTTAAATAAAGAGACTGCCTTGGCCCTTTAATAGGACATAAAATTAGGTAGGTGGAGTAAACAGAACAGAATCCTGAGAGAAAGAAGCTGAGTCAGAGAGTCGCCACGATTCTCCCACTCCAGACAGATGCAGGTTAAGATCTTCCCTGGTAAGCCACCTCGTGGGCTACACACATTATTAAAAATGGGCTAGTCCAGATACGAGAGTTAGCCGAGAAAAGGCTAGATATAATGGGCCAAGCAGTGTTTAAAAGAATACAGTAATTATTTTGGGTAAAGCTAGCTGGGTGGCAGGAAGCAGCCTGCCGCCTATTACTACAACCAAAAATTGGGCTGACCATATAGAAATCTACTACTGTAGAAGCTCCCTCAAATATACACAAATATAAGTGAAATTTAAACAAAGTTATCATATAACAGGGGAGACAATGCCCTGATAAGTTATCATATGCAACCAAATAAAACTAGCTCCAGGAAAGCGTCACATCTTTTTGAGTCATTGGCCAAAGGAGTACCAGAGGTTCTCCTGCCCCAAACATTATAGATCATTGCCAGTGGTATTGGTTACTCTCCATAACCTGCTAATAAGACCCTGTTGCTGAATGCACCATACACTTATGCCATCTTGCAGGAAGAAATCACGCTAGTGTTCAACGAGAAGCTTCACCACCACGGCCTAGCATTCTTAGTGCTGGAGAAGGTCCTATGCACACTACCAGAGGTGAAAAGTCACCATCAGTCTCACCCAGCTAGGAATGCTGTGAGCTACAATAGTGAGTTACACTGTGACCTGCTGTACTCACTAGTGCAATAGTGGCACGAATGTTATGGGGGTGACCAACTACCTTTCTATTGGATGTAAGGGCAGTGTTATGAGATCGAACCCACATTCAACACTGTTAATATGTCCAAATATCTAAGACTAGATAAGCCATGGACCTCAAGTAAAACTACTACGTTAATTTTCTAAATGAGCATAGCAACACAATCACTACTAATAATGTTTTGCTAGGCTCATCGGATGGCTATTATTGGCCATGAACTTGACTACATCTGGAATTACCATCTTTTTAGGTGGTAAGCCCCACCTCTAATCTGAGACAATCTTCTGGCAGTTTATATAAAGGACATGGAAGAAGGAAGCTAGCTCTCTTTGCATGATTGTTTTTTTCTGGCAAGAACTGGCACTAGAGCTTACTTCTTTGGGATTTCAGAGTATACTAAAGACCAGCTAAGATACCCAGCCTCTTTGGTTGAACAACTACTGTATTATTGAACATTCCATCGGTGGACAGCCATTGTTGGAACTAGCTGAACCACAGCCTGTAAACCATTTTAATAAATCCTCTTTCTATAAATTCTATTATTTCTGTTCCTCTAGAGAACCCTAATACACCCATAGATCACTGCACTACTTAACCCTCGCCAGAGAAGCTTCTTCTTGTGGAAGATGGGAATTTAACACAGAGACCCACGGCTGGACAACATTCAGAGAGTGGGAGATGTCTTAGTTAGACTTCCTATTGCTGCAACAAAATACCATGACCAAAAAGCAAGTTGGAGAGGAAGGGGTTTATTTGGCTTACACTCCAGCATTGCTGTTCACCACTGAAGGAAGTCAGAACAGGACTCAAATGGGGCAGGATCCCAGAGGCAATAGCTGGTGGAGAAGCCATGGAGGGAAGCTGCTTATTGGCTTGCTCCCCATGGCTTGCTCAACCTGCTTTCTTATAGACTCTAGGACCACCAGCCCAGGGATGGCATCACTCACCGTGGGCTGGACCCTCCCCAATTGATCACTAAATAAAAAAATGCCTTTCACCTGGATCTCATGGCAGCATTTCCTCAACTCTGGAGTACTCAGTCCTAAATGGGATATCTGTCATGTCCCCCCCTCAAAGCTCAGGGATCTATGCTAAAGAGGAGGTGCAAAGATCATAAGACCAGAGGTGGTCAATGACTCCATGTAAACAGCTTCCTTTGCACACAGAGGGATTGGTGCATACTGAACTCACAGAGAATGTGTCAACATGCCCAAGACCAAGTCCAAACCAGACAAACATCTGAGCCCTGAGAATGGGAAGTGGGCACAAAGTTCTGCTTCTAACAAAGAAGCTATTTGCATCTAATACTTGATGGAAAAGGGAAAATCAGTTTTCATCAATGGAATGACACTGGATATATCAATAACACTCCAGGTCAGGCCCCCATGCTGAGGAATAATTGGCTAGCACAAGATGGACTCCATTTTTTTCTTTTTCTTATTTTTTTTTTTTTAGTTTTATTAGTATCTATATGTGCTTTTTGTCTGTTTGTTCTGATTTGGGTTTTTTTTGGGGGGAGGGATGTTTGTTTTTTGTTTGTGTGTTTTTTCTAATATACGGTTTCCTCTATGTAAAAGCCCTGGCTGCCTTGGAACTCACTCAATAGACCAAGCTGGTTTCAAACCCACAGAGATCTACCTGCCTCTGCTTGCCAAGTACTGGGCTTAAAGGTGTATACCCTTTAAGCTTCCTAAGAGAGAGAAAGACTATGAAGTGGGGTGGGTAGAATGGGAGAAGCTGAAAGGAGTTGAGGGAGGGGAGAGGATGTGACCAAATGTTTGGAAAAGGTTTTGAAAAATGACAGCAAGAGCAAATAAATAAATAGACGAAAGTTAAGCAAAACTGGTTTTGACACATAAAATTGGATATTTTGTACCCAGGGATTTAAGTTCCTGTAATTTTAGTTTTATAGAACTTAGTCAATTGTGCAAAATTTTAACATACAATTTTAATTGTGCAATTTTAACAAAGGTTCCTATTTTAACAGATAAATATATCTCCCTGGAATAAATGAAACAAAGTCTTCTTAGCAGAGTGTATTGAAACCTTGATCTTCTAGTGTCTGCTCATTTCTGCAGGTCCTATTGCACCCTACAATCTGGTCACTTCCGTGGGTTCGACCTATGACCTTTGTCTCCATCCCAGCACCAGGCCCTTGGCTTTGCACACACTGTTCCCTTTAATAGATTGGGGCTGGTTTCTCTTAAGACTGTTCTTCATCATTTATTTCAGAAATAAAGATGCCTTGACCCACGAATGGGAAAAATCATGGACACAAACAAGGTTCAGAACAAAACCACAGAGCTGCACTTGCAGGAAGATGAGCCCGGTCAGGTCTTGGAGGACCTCAGCCTATACTGGAAGCTCGTGTTCTCCTGGTCTTGCCAGGGACAGATGCCTGGGCAGCTGCTCTGGTTTTGAGGTGCAGCCTACCCTCCACTGTTCTCTTAGCTTAAGGAATCATCTCTCCTCTGGGGAGGAGCCTTTAGATGGTGAAGTGTCATTAATAGTGACCCTAGCAACAACAGTGTCACAATGCAGAGTGACTGTGTTTGGACTCTGCCGGGTAAGTTCTCTCCAGTCTCCAGTGGTTTTATAGCCTGGTGGTCCTCTTAATCCTGCTTCAACTCGCCAGACCTGTTTCTGCCCTTCTTTTTATTCCTTTATTTATCCAGCTGCTATAGTTTAGATATCCAATGTCCCCTCAAAACTTAGGCGTTACGGGTTTGGATTCCAGGGTGACACTACAGACGTGGTTCTTGACCCTTTTGGGGCTCAAACGACCTTTTCACAGGGATTGAATTTCAGATATCCTGCTTATCAGATATTTATATTATGGTTCATATCTGTAACAAAATTACAGTTATGAAGTAGCAATGAAAATAACTTTATGGCCGGGGGTCTCCACAACATAAGGAGCTGTATTGAAGGATGGCAGCGTTAGGAAGTCAGGCTGAGAATCAGTGCACTGCAGGGAAAGGGTGATACTTGAAGAGGAGGGGCTGACCAGCCCTGTTGGGTCCCTGGAGCACCCCTTGAAGGGGATTATGGAATCCAAGTCTCTCTTCATTTTCAGAGCACACAGTGAGCAGTTCTACTTTGTCACACATTCCTGCTGTGACACACTGCCTTGCTTCAACTATGACAGGCCAGAGCTCTCCCAAACCTATTTCTCATTGTAAGCCAAATTATCTTGGGCATTGTGTGCCAGAAATGGGGCTCTGACAAACGTCCCAGCTCTTCCTGTTCCATCACCCCTCATGCTCCATCCTTTCTCCTACCCTCTCTTTCCATGTCTGTGTCTGTCTCCCTCATCTCTGCGAGCTCTTTCTTCTCTCCTCCAACCTTGCAAGCTGCTTTCCTGATGGCTCTGTTGCCATACATCTTAGTCTCTGTATTGGGAAATCCATATAGGCGGTCCCAGACCTACTTCTAAAACAAATCACTGTGGGAGTTCCCGCCGAACTTTCCTTGTCTGTCAAGAGCAGTTAACAATGACATCATAGGTTGTTTTAAGGACACACGAGATGATCATAGAAATTGTGCTGCACAACCACACTGTCTCAGAGAGTTGCGCATTGAACCCATTTCCTCCCTCTCCATCTCTCGAGCTCCCTGTCTTTCTTCCACATCTGACCTCTGGCACTACTGTCACCTCAGGTGCTCCCTGGAGATGGCCCGGTACCTTACATTTTCAAGACTGGTGTGGCGGGCTCACAACAGTAACACCAGCACTTGGAAAGAAGACCAAAGCAGAAGGACTACATCATGAGACCCTGTCACAAACAAAGTTATACCTGAACAAAAATTCACTGAGTAGCTGCAACAAAAACATCTGTGTCCTATAAAAATTCACCTTGGGGCAACCGAGATCAAGGCAGCAAAGGCTACCCCCTCCAGCTGCTTTTCTGAGTGAGTGTGGTTTACCTTTTCACAGGAAGAACAGGCATTGGGATGCATATTCCACACTGGAAACAAACCCAGGCTTTTAGTATAGTAACACTGCACATGGAAAAGATTTTGGAGAAACCAAGCACGTTACCATTTTTGAAGCTCCTGAAAACTTCCCCCAGGCTGGGGTATTCACGCAGGTTGACTTGGCTGAACAATGTCAGCAGCAGTGATGGGTGGAAAGTCCGCTCCAGATTGGTGAGAACATTGTGCACCACTCTGGATACAGGGACCAGATTCCGACAAGCATCCAAAGAATCCTTCAAAGATTGGAGCAAGGAAGAATTGGTTTGAATGGTTCTTCATTGAGCTGAGAAGTCTATATTTGTGGTTTTCTATATTGTAAGAAAGCTACTTTGGGCTGCTGAGGCTGGCTAAGTGGATGAAGATGTTGGCCATCGAGCCTGAGGACAGGGGTCGGATCCCCAGGATCCATATTGTAGCGAGCTGCGTGGTGTCACACCTGATGGAGATGTATAATCAACTCCTGAGATGGCTAAGGCCTGACCTATGCTATGATCACTCAATGATTATCAGCTGCCTGCATATGTGTGAACCTACGGGCAGTGCCCACCTGGCAGTTCAGGGTTGGCAGCCCATGCCTACTTAAGGGCTGAGAGAGGTTTGCCCAGGAAAAGGAGAGAGGAAGGAGAGAGAGGACAGGAGAGGGGGAGAGAAGGAGGAGGAGGAGGAGGAGG